CATTTGCGGCGACGGCACGTATTGTAGCGCCCTCATTTGTCCCTTGAGACCAATGTCCCCAGTTACCCCAGTCTCGGTCGGCGGAAGAAGTCAAGTTTCTCCGCAATAGCGAGAATTTCTTGGAAATCGGTGACGCCACGAAGCTGGATTTCGTGAGCGATGTCGTGCTTCAGGCCGCCGACGTAGCGGTCGATGTGTTCGATCTCATGCATATAACCCACTTGCTCGCATAGCGCCAAAAACCTGCTCGTGTAGTCCTGGACGGAACCAAGTTGGCGCCAAGTGCGGAGCTTCTGTCGCGCTGCGATCGAAGCCGCAAATGGCTCAAATCGAGCGCGCAGACCTGCACACCACGCGTCCCACGTGCGATATTAGGGCACCTCCACGAAATACGACGGCGCCCAGGGTCCGGTTTGTCCTTCCCGTGTCGGTAGAGTCGCATAGTCCACCGGCTTTGTGACGATGACACGCCACCAGTCCATGGCGGGTCCTCGCAGCAACGACACGATGTAGCGGATTTTCGCCGTACCTCCGAGACGTAGTTGGCGTAAAAAAACACGTTCAACGCGAACAACCACGCCTGCATGGTAGGACCACCCCGTTGACTCGGGTCAAAGCATGGCGGACGCTGCGGCTTCAACGGCATCAGCGACGACAGTGTTGATTCGCCGGCCGGCATAGAAATCGTGACTCGAGGCTGATTCCTTGCCCCATTCGACGCTTCGGGGTGTGTCGTGCCGTGGTCGTCGTCTCCGTCGTGGCGGACGACGCCATCACTGGCCGCGCTCGCGGGTTGCCCCATGCTCCCATGTTGCGATGTCTGTGGTGCAGGCTGTACCGGAGTGCCAGGTGCTTGAGATTGCGCTTGCTGTGCTCGTGCGACGTCATTTTGCAGGGATGTACGTTCTGCCGTCAGCACCGCGATTTCTTTAGAGCTTTCGTGAAGTTGCTACAGCAGTTCGTTCAAACACTCCCGCGTGAGAGTGGAGACGTCGATGTGCTTGGCCATTGCGAAGGGCGTCGGCTCGGCTTAGTCTAGGCGCAGTCGTGGCTGCACGCGTTTACGAGAGAACGCAAGGACAGCGGCTCCTAGGGGCTAAGGTGCGTGAGTCTCTTCGAGTGAAAAATCAAAAGTTGATTTCCTGGGGTGCAGAGATGCGCGGTCCAAAAAGAAAGAGGCTCTGAATACCAAGTGTTATAGGTGCAATGAATCGAGGTAGCGAGGATTGCACTAAGGTGTCTAACGAGTACAAAATGTGAGCGAAGGCATGATCGACCATTTATACGCGAAACATGCAAACAGTAACGCGGTGCGTGCGAGCTAACTAGTGCTACGCTAGCAGCAAGGCTCGGGCTAGTCCCGAAGCGTAGGCCGACACGGCCAGGCCAGCAGTGCGAGGTTTGGTGAAACAGTGCGCGCGAAGTCGGCGAAGCCCCGTTAGCAGTAACGGGCGAACAACGGCTGCTGCTGTACGCGATGTTGCAGGGCACGCTAAGGAATGTCGAAAAAAATCCTTACATTCCCAAATTCTAGCACCGAAATGAGTTCTAGGTTGAAAAATACGTTGGGGGGGAACCCTTGCGAGGTTACCCCATCATGGCGTGGGTTTTAGATTTTGTCGCTACCCAACTCGAAACACCAGGATATCCCTCGCGAGGTTACACCATTATGTCGCTCAAGAACCCAAATGAAATCATGGGGGGAACAACGACAATCGCGAACATCGCCAGGTAATAGTACACTTTCAGACATCAAAACTAAAATTTATGGTTACAAGCATGTTGTAGTTCTAGCAGAGCGTCAGTAGTCCAATGGGGGCTATGCATGAAATATTATCACTGACATCCTAAGGACGTGTCTTGGTTCGCCTCTGGTCGGCTGTGATCTGGTCGGGGCTGATCTGATCGGGTTGCCATTGTTTAAATTGCTCGCGCCGCCCGATCAGCTAAAATTTTCCTCGAATATTTCACGAGGGTACGTGGCAAGCGTCCAAACCTTATCTGCCACTTTCGGGCCCACTTTGACGACTGCGAATACATCGGCATGGATATAGCGAGTTTAGTGCTTTCCTGTAATTTCGCGAAAACAGAAATGTTGCAGTTCCAGATTCGCGACGGCGGGGTATTCACGACAAATTCACGAGTCCATGTCGAACAATGTAACAATTCGCCAGCGTTGGTTAGTAACCCAATCAAATGCAAACAAGTGATCGTCGGTGATTGTGTGGGATTGTGTTCGATTGCAAAGTTTTAGGCGGTTGATCGTGTTGGGGCGATCAGCTGATCGCGATCAAGTACTTGCTCCCGATTGCATGAGATTGCCTCCATACCTTTCTGGAAATTATTGATCGCGTCTGATCGAGGCAATCAAAGGCAAACTGAGACACGTCTTAACACTCTATAATGTTGCCTCAATTTGCGAGGGCTCACTTATTCATGCTTTGCTTTTAAGTTCTAAGATGACTTATTGACATGATTGTCAGATGTCCATTGGAGATCTCCGATCGATCATAGGGAAGGGTTACAGGCACGTTGGCCTGGGGGGTTATGGGCGCACTCACCCGCAACACAAACAAGTCATTTTATCCCAATAGTTAGTGGCTGGGATTTTGACTTGGTATCATAGCGAAGGTCTCGGGTTCGAATCCCAATGTGTGCACCTCAGACATCGCAGTGCGGGGGGGTGTCAGATGTCCACTCGAGATCCCCGATTGATCATAGGGAAGGGTTACAAGCACGTTGGCGTGTAATCGTCAAATACAGGGTTACCCTATGCTGAAACATTACCATGCTGACCCCGGGCTTTAACGAAGCTTACATTACTTGCTTACGTACCTAAAAAAAGTTTCACTCGCAAGTAGGTAAGTACACTACACTTGCACAATACACGACTCACTACTAATCTAGCAAAACTACACGCAAGTAGGCTTGCAATGGAGAACAAGAACCGAATGCACAGAATGCCCCTTGTCATCCTTCCACGTGATGCTGCCATACTTGAAGTTCTTGAACCTCCTCCTCACCACAACCTTCACTTTGAAACTAACACGTTGCCCTAGTGCAATGGTAAACTGCAATGGCACCACCCTCACTCTTACTGCCTTGGGGGCCTTGATCCTCATCCTGTAGGTCGATGTGGTATTTGAGACGCTCGTCATAGTCCGCCTAGCTGAAAGTTTATACACTATGTTGACCAGCGAGATAGAAGGCTGGTTTAGGTGTCTGGCTGCAACAGGTTTCATCCGCACCTTCCCGAATGTCTCTCGGGCCATCGTAATATTTAGCCCGGCAAGGAAGTTGCGGTCATCTTGCTCCTGGCATTAAAGGTCAACCCAGGGTCAAGGGCCCTAGCGGGAAACACATGCTTTGCTCCCATCTGCCATGGCGTTGCCAGCTTGCCATTCGCATTCTGAATTACTCTGTTGCTGTTGTCAGTGCTGCGAGCTGTCGTCATTAAGGCAGACATGACCTGCGCGGGCGTCCAATCAGGATGCTGCTGGATGATCAGAGCAGCCACACCGGCAACATGAGCAGCCGTCGCGGATGTTTCATTGCAGTAAACCGAGAACGATCTCGTCTCGTCGACGGCTTTCCCGAGCACAGCCGCAAGGATGTTGACTCCCGGGGCGATGATGCCAGGCTTGAGAATGGTGTTGGAGGGGCGGGGCTTCTTCGGGCGGCAGACGGTACAGCTCCGCACGGCGAGAGGGCTGGTGGAGGACCATTTGGGAACCATGGGGAGGGAGGTGGCTGCAGGGGGGATGGTTCCCATTAGTGTTGATATTGCTGGGCCTGTGGTGTTTGTTGGAGATTTTAACGCTGATGTTGCTGCTCCTGCTGCTGCTGTTGTCGTTGTAGACTTTGGAGTGAGGGAGTCCTGGGGCACGGTACTGCATGCATGGTGGGGCAGGGAGAGTGTTGATGAGCATGGTGGGGCAAGGAGAATGTTGGTCAGCATGGTGAGGCAGGGAGAGTGTTGGTCATCATGTGATGCAAGGAGATGGAAGAAGAGGGAGGAGGTGCAAGAGGATGGAGGAGAGGAGAGCATGGAAAAAGGCATGAACCAAGGAAGAAGGGAAGGATAATGAAAAGGTGCAACGTGGGAAACAAACAACCTTCTACAAGGGAAACAAACTACCTCTGCCACTCTCTAATGAGTGATCTCCAATCTCACCTTGCCCCCACGCTGATATAGTAGAGTGCAAAGTTGTCGATCGCACGGAAATGACCGTACAAGTAATGGAAATAATACCTCCCCTCATCGCCAACTGCTAAGGCTACAGTGACCCCGGCCTGTAAGAGGAGGGAGGGAGGGAGATTCTGCTGTTTAGGTGCCTTAAAAACTCCTTACAGTCACTCCGGCTTGCAGGGGGGTGAGCGGGAAAACACAGGCAAGAGAAGGTGACGGAAGGGTGAGGGACAGGCCTCGGTGCAAGGAGTTGCAAGGGGTTGAAAAGGGTTGAAATGGTTCGATCCACAGCAACTCAGATGTGGATGAAGTGAGGGAGGGAGGGACGGAGGGAGGGAGGGAGGGAGGGAGGGAGGGAGGGAGGGAGGGAGGGAGGGAGGGAGGGAGGGAGGGAGGGTGGGAGAGAGGGAGGGAGGGGGGGAGGGAGGGAGGGAGGGAGGGAGGGAGGGAGGGAGGGGAAGGAGGGAGAAGGAGGAGTGAACAGAAGGACACAGAAGGTAAGAGTTGGGGGTCAAGATCAGAGAGAGGAGGAGCATAGAGATAATGAGAGAACAGAGGCAAAGGCCAAGGGAAAAGGCTAGGAGAGGGCAAAGGCAAAGAGAGGGGCTGGCAAAGGCCTTTTGAAGTGGCCCAAAGAGCAGCAAGTCTGACATTGGGTGTACAATGAGACTCAAACATGACCCAGTGTATACACGAGTTCTGCACCCATCCATTAGCAGAGATAGGTAGGAGTGTGATTAACAAGACATGCCTGCATCAACCAGCGAAGCTACTCCCACCGCATGCCCCTCACACTCCCATCGCATGCCCCTCACGCTCCCACCGCATGCCCCTCACACTCCCACCGCATGCCTCTCATACTCACTGCAAGAGCGCCGATGAAAGGCACATAGTCAAAGTAGGTGACGCTCCACTTGGCATAATCATCATCGTACATGTTCCTATTCACATTGTCCAGGGACAAGGTGATCACATCCACATCATCCGCCATAGCCTGATCAATGGCTGCAAAGACATCTACGGCGTTAGTGACTGTGGTGCCAACGTTAAGCCAGTACACCTTGTAGATGGTTAGGCATGCCCGGGGAGCCACGCCACTAATGGTGCCTCCGCCAGGCACCTCCACGCCGCTGTTGGTCGTTGCTGCTCTGAGAGTGGAGATGCATGGGATGGGCGAGGAGCGGGTATGAGGGGACAGGACAAGGGAGGAGTGTGTAGGAGGGGACGCATGGGACAGGGGAGGAACCGGTATGAGGGCGATTTCCATGCCATGCACATTCACATACTCTTCTTCCCACCCCCTTGTCTGCCTAACCACTGTAGACGGAGCCATTGCCGTGCTACACTACACCATGTCTCGACTGTCTGAACTTGAGCTTAGAATCGATGCATTAGTAATGAGCTTGAAGCTCCTTAACTACATCCAGGATGAGCTAGGTATGGATGCAGAGGGAATCGGGGGGATTTTCTAGGGATTGAGGGTTAGCATTCACAACGATTTGCCATGGTTCATAATGGCATGACACTCTCACTACACATTTCAGCACTCACTGAGCGTCCCTGCACTACTGTCCATCCCTGCACTCACCTGGCACACCATGTGCCATGGCCATCCGAATCCCGTGGGGAGAGCGGACGGCAGACCCCGCATGGAAGACGCACCCTCCGATGATCTTGTTGTTACATGCAAAGTCGCTTGTAGTGGGACACAGACACGTGCCCGCCCACCCGGCAGGGAGTGTGCGGCTGTAGCCCTGGTGGGGGGGGGGAGGGGTGGAAGGTAGCTAAGGTAGAAAAACAAGCTCGTAAGCCTCAACATTTTTCACAAAAAAGCTTGCGTGAATATTGAGGGTAGGATCATAAGGTGACCAATGAGGGTGGGCCCATACGGTGAACAGTGAGGGTGGGAGTTGAGCTTACAGTGTCGTCAAAGGAGGGGTGCTCCGACCACACGCCGCTGACCACAATCCCAATCACCGTGCCTTCACCGTCGCTCGGCGCTCCAGCCGGAGTGGCAGCAGTGGCAGCACGGGCGTGGGGCAACTTGAGAGACTTGTAAGAGTCGGCAACAGTGATGGTGCGGCATGTGATGGTGCGAGAGGGCGTGACAGACGCCACGGAGGGGTGCCGCCTCATGCGCTGCACCTGCACTGCCGTGAGGGTCGCTGCGAAGTCGTTCGACGCGTGCGTGTAGCTGAGACGTCGGGAGGGACGGCGGCAGGGGACGACGAGGAAAGGAGTTGCATGAGTTGTTTGGTGGTAGGGTGGGTAGTACGAATGATGGAGGCGCCTTAGTTAACTTGTACGGGTGATGAGTGGGGTGGCTGTGTGGGGTGCACGAGTGATGAGTGAGCCATGATGCCCACTCAAGTGAGCCATGATGCCCACTCAAGTGAGCCATGAGGGCCACTCAAGTGAGCCACGAGGCCCACGAGGGATGACGTCGCGCCTTCGTCCCTCATCCTTTGTACCTAAGCTGCCGTGAGGGTCACTCAATGGCGATTCAACAACACTTGATGCATGAGCTGGGAAGAGAAGGTGAAAAGGAAGGCAGGGCATGAGAGGGAATGTAGCCTGGTGTCAACCATCCATCATGCTCCCATAGCTTGCTGAATCCGTTTTTACACTTTTCTCAATATCCACATCTCACGCTGGGTGCCCTGCACTGCACCACCCCCTCTCACATGTGCTGCAGCAGCAGCACCAGCAGCAGCGGCGGCGGCAGCAGCAGCAGCAGCAAAAGGTGCAAGGGTACAAGCATGCTCTCACCTATAGAGCATCCAGCGGCCAGTCTACGGTCTTCGCCAGTCTACGGATGATGTACTCGAGGATGAGTAGCAGAATGAGTACCAGCAGCAGCAGTAGCAAAAGGTGCAAGGGTACAAGCATGCTCTCACCTGTAGAGCATCCAGCGGCCAGTCTAAGGTCTTCGCCAGTCTACGGATGATGTACTCGAGGATGAGCAGCAGAATGAGTACCCAGTGGAGCCTCCAGCGGCTAGTCTACGGTCTTCGCCGGTCTACGGATGATGCACTTGAGGATGAGCAGCAGAATGAGTACCACTCACTAATTGGGAGTGCTGCTGTGCATACGCGACCTGATGCTTCATTCAGAGTGGGGCAGCTGGCCAGAGTTGTGCAGCGGCCCACTGAGGAGCAGTTGGAGGTGGCAAAGCGCTTGGTGCGGTACCTCAGATCAACGGCATCTGCTTGTGTTCAGTTTTCAGCTAGCGGTCAGCTGAAACAGATTGGAGCAGATGGGGTCACGCCTGGAACCTTGAAGCTGTCGTGCTTCACCGATGCTACATGGGCCTCAGAGGAGGAGGATCAGTCATCAGTTGGCGTGGTCGGAGGTGGACCAGTGAGTTGGAGGTCCAAGAAGCAGAGTGCATGGCGATGTACCATGCCATCAAGGAGATCGTGCTCCTGAGGAAGCTGCTGGAGGACATGGGAGCTGAACAGGAGGGACCTATACCACTTTTCTCCGACACCGAGGCTGCTATTGGCATGGCCAATAATCTTATCCCGAATGGGCTGAACAAGCATATGGTGATTAAGTGGCACTAGGTGAGGCAGATGGTGAAGGAGGGGACTGTTGAGCTTCACCATGTGAAGGCTAGCAAGCAGGCGGCAGATTTTCTCAGGAAGAGACTTCCCAAGAGCGCACACTGGAAGTGTGCTAAGATGTGTGGCATGGCATTGCACTAGTGTGCGCAGCACTGTCATGAGTGCATGCGTGATTGTGTGCATGAGAGTTTGCATGTGTGTGAGTGCGTATGCATGCAGTCCGTTAGCCTAAGGGGGAGTTTGTTGAATGCACGTCATTCTGAGTGCATGTCATCCTAGCGTCCTGCCGAGTGCTCGTGCTACCGGTATTTGTGCTTGCATAATTTGCATGAGCATACCGTATGTCATCGTGCGTGGCTGTTGGATATTATCGTGCAGGAGAAATCCAGAACTTTCCAACGATACCAAGATCGCCTTATTCCGACCAAGATCGCCCAAGTTACAAGATTTCCAAGACTTCAATTTCTTATTACCTTTTGGGGTTATACCTAATCTGGGTGATTACTTGGACATGACTATAGAGGGGTCTTTGGTTGGGTGGTTAGGAATGCAACTTTGACTTTTGGATTGGGGTGGCTAGAAGTTTCTAGCATGGGTTGCAAATGTTGCAACACCTAGGCAAAATCCAACTAGATTAGATTTTGCATGTGACACCTCAAGGACCTCATGATGAAGGTTGCATCCTTGCTGCTATGAAGGTTCCTACGATCCTTCCCTAGCTCTTGAAGAACCCAATTCCAACTTTCTATGCCTTAATGTTTGTACTTCCTCCACTATTCTAGTCATGCGGCTGCTGGGCGTTTACTTGGTTCTCACTCTATAGACCATCTTAACAACTGATTCAACTTGGAGATGGTAGCTAAGCCCACAATCCTATTGAACGGATTTGCGTTTAGTTGAGAAATGAGTTCGGCGTAAGCTCTCAAAGTGACGGATTCTGAACAGCACTCCTCTCAGTGGCAGACAGCCGTGGACGCAGAGATGGCTTCTTGAACGTCCACAGGCACCTACGTCGACGAGGTTCCTCCTCCTGGGCCGAACATAGCCGATGGCATGTGGATTTTCGGAGTGAAGCGGCCGCCGGGTTCTCCGCCTGCCTTCGAGGCGCGTTACGTTGCTCGAGGCTTCAGTCAGCGTCACAGGGTCGACTACTTTCTGACCTTCTTCCCCACCCCAAAAATGACTAATCTTCGGGTGTTACTGCACGTTGCACCACATTGTGACTACGAGCTGCACTCCCTCGACTTCTCCACAACTTTCTTGCACAGAAGCCTTCACGAGGAGATCTGGTTGCGCCGCCCACCTGGCTTCACGGGGTCATTTCCTGCGGGTACCCAGTGGAGCCTCCAGTGGCCAGTCTACAGTCTTTGCCAGGCGCCCCACGAGTGGACGACACACTTATGACAACACTTGCGGCTCTTGGTTTTGCTCCTTCCTCTGCTGAACCCGTCGCTGTTTCTATGCACCGACAATTCCCTCAGCCGTTCTGCGTTTTCGTGTACGTCGACGACTTGGTTTTTGCCACTGCTGACACTGAGCCGCTAGCCCTAGTGAAGGGTTGGAGCTGCAGGAGACACACACCTGCACTGACCGGGGTGAGCTGCGGAGCTATCTTGGCTTGCAGATCATCCGGGACAGAGCAGGGCACACCATCGCCTTTAGTCAGCCACACATGGTGCACCAGGTCCTTCAGCGCTTCGGCTTCCGGTACTCCTCGCCACATCCCACTCCTCTGCCTACAGGCCACTCGCTCTCAGCTCCACCTTAGGACGAGTCCGTAGAGCCGAGTGGTCCGTGTGCAGAGCTTGTGGGTTGCCTCATGTATCTGATGACGTGCACACGACCTGACCTCGCGTACCCTCTTAGCCTCTTGGCTCACAATGTGGCTCTTGATAGACACCGAAAGGTGCACTGAGATGTTGCGTAACTTATGCAGTACATCGGGCATGGGGCTCGTGCTTGGAGGACGGGGTTCAGTGGTACTCATAGACACTCCGACACTTCTTGAGCCGACGACTAGGCGACTCAGCGTTTGTCACAGGGTTACACCTTCAGTCTTGGCTTTTGTTTTGTCTCGTGAAGGTCCACTCGTTCTTCTTTTGTGCTTGGTTCCAGCTGTGAGGCCAAGATCTACGCTGGGGCTATGGCTACACAGGAGCTACACCGGCTGACCTACTTGCTGACCAACTTAGGGAAGCGGCCTCGTTCTCCTCCGGTTCTGTACGTCAACAACAAGGCCATGCTTGCCTTGTCTCAGGAGCGGAGACTGGAGCACAGAACGAAGCACATTGCTCTTCACTACTTTCTTGCTCGAGAGCTGCAGCACCCTGGCCAGATTTGCCCTCGGGTCTAGTGATCATCAGCGTATTTGCATTGCTCTTGGGCTTCTGCCTGTTCTGCCTCACTTCCTACTTACCTGACTTGTCTTGTGCTGTGTTGCTAGTTGCTGGTTATATATATACCCGCATGCTTGCTTTTGCTAGGTTGTGATCACTCTCTTGCTTGTGCTTTTATAACTCTGCATGTGGACTGGCCTTGTGGCTGCTTGCTTGTGCTCAAACTGTGTGGTGATCTTGAGATCCACTCTGGTCTTTGCTTTGTTTGCGTCTCCTGTCTGGTCTTGTGACCACTGTTTGGTTTGGCTATATCCCCTACTTCACCTATGGGGGTGTGTAAAAACATTATATGCTTTCTATCTTTCTAGCCTATGTAGGGGTTATCATTAGAGGGAAAACCACATTTCTCGACACTCTTGTACACTCCCCTTATGAGATCGATCATCCTTCTCACTAGATTCTAACGGTTGAGAGCAAATAGGCAGGCCATCTGGGTGGCAGGCCTTGGTGAGGCAGAAACAGAATGCGAATGTGAATATATTCCCATGAGTTCAGCCACCTCCAACTTACACTCTCCAATGAAATCTGGTCTAGTCAACGAATAGGCGGGTTTGAGTCGACCCAAAGCTCAGCTGCTATGTCGCCCACCATTGCTGCACCCACCTGCCACTTGCACCCACCCTCTCATCTTATCTGGTCAAGTCAAGCAGAGGCAGACATAGAGCTGAGTTGCCTCACCGCCTTACTGAGGCCACTGGCTCTGACGATGCTGCTTCACCTCCTTAGAAGGTGGTTCTAACGAGCATAACTGGCTGCCATGCGTGCACATGACAGCTGACATATAAAAAGCATGCCTTTTGGCATGACTCACAAGCATCTGACACATCTTTTTGAGTCGGCTCAAAAATAGGATCGTGACAAACGGATTTTATGTTGAGAGAATTTTTGTTTCTTGGACGATTGGGTGTTTTTTGTTGAAGCTTTTTGTGCATGCGCAGCCACCGAATCTGTTGCGCGGCAAAGGTATGGACCAAACTACCAATGAAGACACCCTTGAGGACTGAAGATGTGGCTTCTTGGTGTTTACCAAGGCGGCCTGTATTTGTCACCTAAATTTCGGGGTTAGCCAGGGTGTATGTATCATTGAGTTTGTTTTCCTAGAGGCGTTAGCTTTTCTTTCAAGGCTTCTGCTTCGATCTGTTTTTGTTTTTTTTCTTGTCAGCACTGATGAAGG